TATCACCAGCTTGCTGACTTTTGTCATCCTCGTGCTGGCTTGGCTTGTTGGCTTCGCATCACGCCTGTTCGCCATTGTTCGCTTCGAATCAATCATCCATGAATTCGATCCATGGCAAGTACTCGTTTTTTGCCCCGGAAATTCCTGATCTTTCACTAAATAACAAGAAAAAACCACTTTATTTTTTCATTTCTTATAAGAAAAGACATTCGAAGGCGGATAACTTTTGCCAGTAATGACCATTCTTGGTTAGAATACCACTGTTTTTCTGTTTGAGATGCTGCTTTGAAAATAGAACTCTATCGCGACCCGAAACGGGGCGCCGAAACGCCCCAGAACAAGGTTGAGTGGCGAAAACAGCGACTTTGGACGCCGGAAATGAAGAGGAGTGCTTTTATACCCCGGTGATCACAGATCACCAACACTGCATAAGGCTAACGGGGGTAGCATGTCCCAATATTGAACCAGGGATCGTGGGTGCTGCATCACAGTGATGCAATGATTCCTTATGTAATTTATTAATAAAAAGCCATAAATCATTATGTGAAATATTATGTGACAGCTCTGAGTCTCTGACATATAATTGAAGCAGTTGGAATTAATAGACCGCTTCTCCAGTTACGAAGTTTACAACTTGTCCAGTTGTTTTGACCAGTGCTGCATCGTTTGGTTGTTAGCACGCAATTGCTTCTTTTCTCCTAAAGTTCGGCACCTCAGCAGTTCGTCCAGCAGGAAAATTTGGCATGGCTCATTCTTGTCAGTTTTCTCTCATTCTTGCTACATGACCAGCCCAACTCTTCTTCCTGGCTTAGCCGTTTTGAAGTGCGTGCCACCTTGTTCCGGATGTTGCCACTTCTAGACCATGATGAGATTTTTTGAACTTTTCGACCAGATGGTTTTTGAAGGGAAAGACAACATTAAATTTCTTTTTATTTCTGCTTTTTCATCGTACTGTTACAGGTTCAATTATCGTGCAACACGCTATATGGTGGAGCAGGGATATTACAATTTCCTGAATTGGTTCGATGAACGGGCCTGGTATCCACTTGGACGTATTGTCGGGGGCACGGTTTGTTTTCCTGTACATTATTGGTTTTAAAAAGTAAACTAAATAAAGCTTAGATTTTCACGTGCTGGTGAGAAAATTGGCCGAAAGCTGGAGTGAAATTGGCCGAGATATTGTGACGTGTATTAGTATACCAAAATGATACGTTGAATAGCCTTAGTAATCAAAACTTAAATTTTTTTTGTCGAAAATTAAATTTTAACCGTTTTTTATCGAAAATTTCCCATTTTATCTACGTTGAATTTAATTTTGAAGTGAAAACTGGAATTTTTCGCTTGATCTTGAGTTAAAATTAAATCTAATTTTGGAGCAGAATTCTGTGTTTTAGCTCAAAAAAACTTATTAGTTTTTTGCAGGTTTATCCGGGTTTGATGGTAACATCCGGCCTAATACACTATACATTATCAGTCCTGAATATCCCGGTGCATATTCGCGATATTTGCGTTTTTCTTGCACCCACATTCAGGTCGTTTTTTTTAGTTTTCGTTTTTTTGTGTAATTTTTATATTTCTAAATTTTTTTGGTCGCTGGTGAGTTACTAACAGTCAATGAAGCTAGAAGGCTGGAATTTTGAGGGGACTTTCCCCATCCATGTACAATCAAGTGACTTCAAAATTAGCTCCCAGATGAACGCGGTCCTCATGTACAGGCACTGGGATGGCTGCGGTGCAACAGCAGTTAGTGCCAATTTTCCGTGTGGTCGAGAATTCTACTGTGTCGGTGAGGAAACCGATCTTTTTTTGAGGTTTTTTCATTGATTTGGCAGGAAATTGGGACCATTTTCTCGAATTTCCTCAGAAGCAAGCTGACTGGTTGCCTGTCATGTACTGATGTCGGTTTTCCCGTTGAAATTAATGAAAAACCGTAAAAAATTGATTATAATCTGTTAAATTTTCAGTGGTTTGACAGCAATTGCCACATATTTGCTAACCAAAGAGCTCTGGTCACCAGGCGCCGGCTTATTTGCTGCATGTTTCATTGCAATATCACCCGGTTACACCAGTCGTTCCGTTGCTGGCTCATACGATAATGAGGGAATCGCGATTTTTGCTTTACAGGTATCACTTGTTTTAACAATAAAATTAGCAACAATTCATACAAAAATCAAAAACCCTCGCTGTGAGAGGCGGAAATTCTCGGGAATCGACCGTTTGGCGAGGTTTGCGATGATTTTCTTTCTTTTGAGGATAGCTAGAAGCAAGGTGGTGGC